TGTCTTTTTTTATTGCTGAAGTGTGCTGAAATTTCTTCTTCTGCATTCTACTGAACGGACGTAAATTTACTTTCCCTTCAGCCGGAGGCTTATTCATTTCACTTTTGGTGTGAAAAGGCTTTTATATTAGCCAAAAATATAACTTTTTTATTTTAAAAACAAACAAGCCCAGTCCAGATTTAAAAAGTAACGCAAAACGTAACGTATTACTTTCCAAAAAAAGTAACTAAGTAATAATGGTTCTTTACTTAGTCCTGATAGTTGATGGGAAAGGAGTAAGGCTCGATTTCTGAAGGTTGTTTTAAAAATCTCATAAACCGCTTGAATAACGGATTAATATTTATGTATATTTAATTATTATTACTAGTTCCTATTGTTCCTATTTTTTGTTGTAGTTGCTTTGTACCTTATTTTATTAGTATTGACACATTGTGTTTATCATTGCCTTCTGTTTCTGTGTACACTATTTTCTGTGTTGAAAATGAATAAAAAAATTTTTTTTTTTAAAGTAACTGTCACGGTCACGGTGTGTGGAGACAGGCAGGATGACGAGGATGAAAAGGATTCCAATAATGATATTTATTGTAGACACAACAAGACAGATTCAGGCAGGAGAGACACACACACACTCGGGGTAACCTTCACAATAACCGACAATACTAGAATACAAGAGACAGGAACTTATAGGGAAGATAACGAGGGGCAGACAGGTGAGCACACTGAGGATAATTAACTAATGCTTGAACGGGCTAAACCAACAAAAGGGGAAGAAACCACAATAAACAGTCCACAGGGGCTTTACATTACTCCCCCCTCCCGGAAGGTGCGTCCTCGCACCGTAGAAACAGAGGGAGGGGCGGAGAGGGACTAGGAGGAGGACAAAGCAGTGGATGTGAGATGGTGACAGGGGAAGGCAAAGGGCTGGCAGGCAGACTGGTCCGGACTTCCAGGAGGAGGACGGCTAACAGAGTCCAGGGAAGTGCCGATGGAGGGAGGAGCCAGGGAGACGACAGGAGGGAACCGGAGCAGGAGGAGGAGCCAGGTGGGACCCAGGCCACAGCCATAATAGGGAACTAATATAGGGCAGATAACGAGGGGCAGACAGGTGAGCACAATGAGGTGATTAACTAATAATTAGTATGGGCTAAACCAACAAAAGGGGAAGAAACCACAATAAACAGTCCACAGGGGCTTTACATTACTCCCCCCTCCCGGAAGGTGCGTCCTCGCACCGTAGAAACAGAGGGAGGGGCGGAGAGGGACTAGGAGGAGGACAAAGCAGTGGATGTGAGATGGTGACAGGGGAAGGCAAAGGGCTGGCAGGCAGACTGGTCCGGACTTCCAGGAGGAGGACGGCTAACAGAGTCCAGGGAACGGAGGCAGAGATCCAGAGATCCGCGGTGGAGCCGGAGCGACTGAGGACCAAGGTGGAGTTGACGGGAGGAAGGAGCCCAACGGAGTCGGTAGGACAGAGTGACGAGGCGCAGCCAGAGGAGAGGAGTCCAGAGGCGATGGCGGGTCGACCCCCGACCAAGGCAGAGCCGGAGGGATGAGGGAGCCCGGTGGAACTGATGGATCGATGGGTGACGGTGGAGGCGAGGGAGCTAGGAGCCGAGGTGGAGCCACTGGGTCTACGGACCGAGGCAGAGTCTAGGCTTCAGAGGCTGGAGGCGGGGGGGAGGGAGAGTCCGACCATGGTGACGCTGGAGGAGGCCAGAGTGGGTGGGAGGGGGGTCATTTTTGAGGAGCAGGCACTGGAGAGAGCTCTTGGGCTGGAGTCCTTCCTGGGCGGAACTGGGGATCAGGAGCCCTTCCTGGGCTGAACTGGGGATCAGGAGCCCTTCCTGGGCTAAACGAAACATCAGGAGCCCTTCCTGGGCTGACCTGGGGATCAGGAGCCCTTCCTGGGCTGAACTGGGGATCAAGAGCCCTTCCTGGGGTGGACTGGGGATACCGCGGTCTCTCCTCCTCATTTTGGCCTAATACCCTCCATAGTCCGCTTACCCTCAGCCACGATGCAGGGGGCGGAGCTCCTCTCCGCTCTCACACCATCCACGGCTTGCTCCCTTGTGGTTTGCACTGTCACCGGCTCTCGCACCTGGTCTGACGGGTTGGGCTCAACATCCGAGGCGATCCTCCTCTCAGCCGCAGGACTTCGCTCCGGCTCGTGGATCGCGGCGGGAAATGGCTCTCCGTCATTGGTGGACTCAGGCTTATGCTTTGTACCGCGAGGAGATGGTGGGCTGGGCTCAGGGTCCTGAGTGGGGATGGTGTTGTTGTCCGCGATGTCCACGGTCAGCTGGGACGCCATTAGACAGCAAAACCTTGACCCAACCGTTACCTCCCCTCTGGTCCTTCTTTAAACCACTGTCTATTAGGCAGCTCAAATTAAATCCCTGCTGTTGGACTTTAATAAGAGAATATTTGCTCCTGTATTTTAACCTTGTTATCCAATATCCTGTTCCATATTCCTCTGAGTATATGCTATGGGCTGCTTTAATACAAAAAGGGTGGTTGACTAGCGGCCCACATGAAGAAAGAGGGTTTGGAAAAACTTTTCATTTTTTCATATTTAAAACATAAATGGGACATTAATTAGGCAATAAAAACAAATCCATATAAATGAATAAAGAATGGTGATTTCTGCATAGTCATTCCATTCAAACTAGCATCCTGTGATGTAGTTATCCCAACTCATGTTGAAAAGTATGAACTATTCTAATTTTTTAACAATTTGAGCATTTAAAAAGTCAGCCTTGGTGACCAGACATGGAATGTTATATGTTCGTTTATCTGTAAACTGTACCTGTGAACATCAACACAAGTGTGTGTATTGCGCTTGACACCTGTTTATGTTTGGCAGAGGACAGTTCATTAAATATGTACAGCGTGTGTAGTTGTACTGGGTGAGGTTAAGTGCTTTGTTAACCTCTTAGGATTGTATCAATAAAGAAGGTCCTTACCAGCTGTAACCACATATTCTAAAAGTGTCACATCAACATTTGAAGCCTGGCTGAAACAAATTGCTATCAAGTTTAGAACAATTAGACTGTAAAGTCAAAACAAGAGG